AATTTCACTAAAATTGGGCAGCTAAATTTCAGGTCCATGTGCCTCTAAGAAAAGGAAAACAGAGTCACTAATGCAGTTTTCTGAGCTGATCTGCAGACAAAGTAGGAACTGCCCTGCATGTTTCTGTACAGATGACACTTCCCAACCAAAGACAGTGCATCCAATTTTCTGAAGGGGAAAAACAACCGCTGCACACAATGAACTGCTTTGAATGGTCTCATGTGAGATGACTGGTGTTAAGAATCTTGATTTTTTCATATTTGGAAGCATAATAAAGGATTTTAAATTTAAAGTTACAATAAACCCATTATGGGTTAATTTTAAAAAATCTTATTTCACCCTAGTTGGAATAACTATTATCCAAAAAAGAAAAATGTAACAAATACTGGGAAGGATGCAGAGAAACGGCAATTATTACACACTGCTGGTAGGAATATACTAAGTACAAGCACTATGGAAAACAGTATTGAGATTCTTCAAAAAGCTGAAAACAGAATCACATGATCCCACAATCCCTCTCCGGTGCACATGAGCAGGGGAAAGAAAATCATTTATCCAAAAGGTATCTGCACAGACACATGTATGGCAGCACCATGCACAAGAAAGAACAAGGAATCGACCGAGATGCTCACGGACAGACGACTGGATTTTAAAACTGATACACACACGTGTGTCAGTGTGTCTGTGTGTGGTACAATATCATGCAGCCACAGAAAGAGATAAAATCCTGTCACTTGTGGCAACATGGATGGAATTTGAGAAAAATGAACCAGGAAGAGAAGGTCAAATACTGCCTGTTCTCATTCATTCCTCAATTAGCCGGGCATGGTGGCACACGCCTGTTATCCCGGCCCTGGAGGCTGAGGCAGGAGAATTACGACGAATTTCAGGCCAGCCTGGCTACACGTTGAGTTCAAGGAGGTCAGATACTGAAACTCTTGTCTCAAGAAAAAAAAACGGGGGCCAGGGATTTAGCTCAGCGCACCTCCCTGCCTTGCAAGCACAAGGACCCGAATTCAATCCCAGGTACCAAAAAAAGAAAAGAAAAAAGCTGATTACATAGAAGAGCAGAATAATGGCCTATATAGGAAATAAGATTTTATTCATTTAACATACTTGTATCATATTTACTATGCTTCAAGAATCATGACACATTTAGAGCTTGGCGTGGTGGCACATGCCTGTAATCCCAGCAATAGGGAGGCTGAAGCAGGAGGATGGCTGTGAGTTTGAGACCAGCCTGGGCTACACAGTGAGTTCCAGGTCAGTCTCAACTACATAGTGACACCCTGTCTCTAAAAAAAAAAAAAAAAGAATCATGTGACACATTTTATAAAGCAGGGGCACATGACTGTAATCCCATGGCTAGGCTATAAAGTGAGAGACCTTGTCTCAAAAAAACAGAAAAAAAAGGTCACATGAGATAGGGAAACAAGTTAGGGATGTTTAATGTTTAGCCTGAAGACCAGAGGCCTCTGACTGCTGTCAAATACCCAAAGGGCTAGGTGTGGACCAGATGGAAAAGCCACCTCCTGTGACGCCATGCAGAAAACAAACACAAACGGGAAATCTGAACTCCAGAGTCTGTAAACAGGGAGGGGTATGGGGAAAAAATAAGAACCAAGACACAAGATCCCAATGATGAATGTAACTCTTGTTTGCTTTAAATGTACCAATAAACTAAATGGGAAAAAATAAAAATACAAAAAAAAAAAAAGGAAAAAAAAAAAAAAAAAAAAAAAAAAAAAAAAAAAGAGCTGGGAGAGCTGCCCCAGTGCCAGAACCTCTCCACCAGCCACTGTGTTAGATGAGGGTATGTTACAGAACTTTGTGCGCTGTGGATTAAAACACGCCCATGATGAGAAGGACTTTCTCGCACCACAGTGGGTTTCAATGGATATAAACACGCGCAGAGGCTGGTCACGGGCCTAGGGAGTCTGGCTATCAGTTTCACTTCTAGCTTTGTGACTCATTCTTTGGTAACCTGAGTGTCCCTACCTCTCTGGGGGTCACTTTTCCTACCTAAAAATGAGAACAAAGCTATTTGCCTGCAGGGCTGCTGGGGGAAGGAAACTGACCAAGCACACACAGCATGGTGGGAACGCCAGAGACATCACTGTGAGATCCTCAGCCCGCCCTGTGGCAGCCTGGCTCTGCTCTACACCTGTGCCCAGTGTTATTCTGCTGGAACCTACCGCGTTACAGCAATCAAGATGACACACAGCTTGTTTCTGTTTGAGCGATTTAAAAGGCACTTACCTCTTACAATTTTAAAGAAAAAATATCCTTAAAATCTAAGTAAAGGATCTCAATTAGTAAAATATCAAGAGCAAAATAATAATTCAGTACCATAACAGGGAAACTTATTGCAAGTGTCATGGGGGAAAAAAGACCAAAAAGAAGCAGAACATTAAGTGATTCTTCTAGATGAGGAGGAAGAGAGGGACACCACTTCACACAGGTGTGTGAGTCATCAGAAACAACTACACAAAGGCAGGTAAACAAAATAGAGACCTTCCTTGTGGAAACTGACCTTGAGTGGCCTGAGGGAAAGAGTTCAAAGGCTCCCTTTAACAAGGTCTTCCAGAGGCTGGATTACAGAACCTGAGGCCCAACAATCCTGGGATTCAGGGCTTTGGGTTAATGGTTGTCTCCTCTCTTAAAAAAAGTTAACTCTCAAAAGGAAGTTTCCGCGGAGGATTTATTTAGCTCAGTGGTTCTGCCGCCTGCCTCTTCAGCACAATGACCCAGAGTCCTATCCCCGGTACCCCGCCCCCCAAAAAAAGCTGAAATCAAAAGGAAGTTTTTGTGTTTTCTGAGCTATTTCAAGGTAATATAATTAAACTTAAAAAGGCAATGGCCAGCAGGGAATGGGGGCACAAACCTGTATTCCTAGCACTACTGGGAGCCCTAGGACAGAGGATCTCAAATTCAAGACTGGCCAGAGCAATTTAGCAATTTAAGAAGATTGTCTCAAAAATAAAACAAAAACCATCTTTCTTGCTGAGCATGGCAATGCATTCCTGTAGTCCCAGTATTCAGGGGGCTGAGGCAGGAGGATCACCAGCCTGACTACCTAGTAACACCCTGTCTCTCAAAACCAAAAGCCAAAAAAAAAGAAAGAAATCAAAAAAAATTTTTAAATTAGGTCCAGGGTTCAATCTCTGCAAAAAAATAAACTGTCCATTTTTAAAAAGTACAGTTTCAGGCTAGGGATTTAGCTCAGTGGTTCTGCCACCTGCCTCACAAGCCCAAGGACCTGAGTTCGATATTCAGTACCAAAAAAAAAAAAAAAGTACAGTTTATACGCAGACCAAATCTAAAAGACTTTCTAGTAATTGACTAATACACTGGGGGGCCTTTGACAACTGTTTCCCAAAAAGTTAGGATACAATTCTCATCAGCAAGCATTGTTACACTTGTTACATTAATAAAACGATAAATGTAGGAATGAAAACCTAGGGTTGGATTTAAGATACTATTTTTTTCAAGTCATGACTTATGATAAAAGATATGTGGTGATATTATTACAATTATAATACTGTAAATTCAGAAAGCAAGTGCAGGCCTGGGATTTAGCTCAGCGGTTCGCGGTGGCCTGCCTTGCAAGCGCAAGGACCCGAGTTCAATCCCCAGTACCAAAAAAAAAAAAAAAAAAAAAAAAAAAAAAAGAAAGAAAAAAAAAGAAAGCAAGTGCTGATGTTTGTGAACCATATAACAAAAAACTTACTTTTTAATTTCAATTTTTGTCCTAATTTTACATAAGGAGACTAGACAAACAGAATTGTGGGAGCTAATTTCACAGGCAAGGAGTACCTATCTTTCTAAGCAAAGAATTGAGAGCATATTCTAAGTAAATACAAGTTTCACCCGCTAAGTTAAAAGAAGGGCTCTCAGGGCCGGGGATTTAGCTCAGCAGCACCAAGACCGCCTCACAATTTTCTGAGATTGATCCCCAATACCAAAAACAACAACAACAAAAAAAAAACATTAGCTTTCACTAACAAACCTGTTGCTCCTGCTCTTGGGTTCAATCCCCATATCGTGAAAAAATAGTACAGTGAACCCTTGCCTTACGAACTAGATCACTTGCCGAGGGGTGCTTTTAACTAAGTCAATCCAGTTGAGAGCTGGACGTAAGCTATACATAACAAGAGGCAGAGGAATCTTCCACTAACCAAGCTGTTCGTATGTCGGGCCGGTCGTAGCTTGAGGGGGCCCACTGTAAATTTATCACTGCTTAAAAGACAGCTCAATCATGTCATTTTTTTAAACTAAGGAAGCAGAAAGAATTCAGCTGACAAGGCAGGCAAATGAGTCCTTAAACAAGCATCCTACACTTCCTCAAATAGGCCACGGTGATGAAGTTACCACGAAAAATCATAATGCTATTCTATTGTTAGTCATCGAGATGAGATTACTGGCAATTATCTACGCAAAACAGCCCAACAAAACAGCTACGAACGAACAGGTCGTTTTAATTAGTCCAGGAATCAGATGCCAACAAATTTCTGCTGCGGCTTTCAGAAATCCAAGGGTTCCAAGTTTCCTAACAGCACACAAACAAGAAGGCTAACCTGCGGGGGGTGGGGAGGGTCACAGCCAGGTGGCCTCAGGTGGAGATGTGCTCCCTGGGAGGGAGGGAGGGAAAAGGAAAGAGGAAATGTACAGGTTCAAAGTAAAGATCCTAAGGTGGCAAGGAGGGAAAGTTCCATAAATGAAGAAGAGCAGGTAGGATGAGGCAACCTACAAATATGGGGCAGGTGGAAAGCAGTAGAACGAAGACCCGGCTCCAAGATAAACACAACACTCCCCGTAGGCAACTCTGAGGCGGCCGGGAGGAAGCAACGTTCCCGCACCCAAAGGCACCGGCCTCCGAGCAAGGCACGCACTTAGAGGTACGCAGTGATCCCACAGGCACCGGGCAGGACGGAGGGGAGCCTGCTCGGGCAGGGGCTGGGGTGCACGGCCTGGCTCGGGAAGGAGGGGGCTCTCCTCACCGTGATTATCCTTCTGCCCGATGTTGTGCGTGCGGATGAGGGAGGACAATCTTCGCACATCCCCCTTGAAGACGCACTCGTGCACCGGGTAGTGCGCGGGGCAGCTACCCCCGGCCGAAACGACGGCGATGGGTCCGGTGCCGGCGAGAAGGGCCGGGGGCTGGGGGACGG